GTCTGGTTAGCAGGCAAGTGACTTAGCCACTATGCTACCAGAGCTCCTACTTTCTATGTAGTGTTATCTTTTTCCCTTCTGATGTATCTCAGGAAGAAGGAAATATGTTTCTTAGTGTTTATTAGTATCTCTTAAAATTATGCCAATGAAAATCAAATACTCTCACTAGACAACTTTTTCTCCAGCCTGCATGATTAACTATCTCTGGGCATTCAAGCTGAAAGGTAGTGAGGAGCCATTGAAATTCTACACAATCCAGGAGAACTACTCCTGTCCTACTTGGGGCAATGTAGACATACACCTCAAAAAACAACCCACTTCCTCTGAGTGAATTTGCACACATGGTAACCCCTATAGGCTTACCTATAGACAAAGGAGAACTTCTCAAAAGGGTTTTCGGGCTGTAATCTTACAGAAGCAGACTGCCACATCTTTCTCCTGCAGAGCAGCTGGAGGATTCAAACTGCTAATCTATTGGTTAGCAGCCAAGCGCTTTAACCACTGCACAACTCCTAGTGCTTAAATGGCAATCATGTTATTCTATCAAATATCAATTTATATTGCCTATTATTCCTAGAAAAATAACCAGGATTGCCTTTGAATTTGCTTTGTTTTAATAAAGTAATCTTTATAGATAAATAAGATATTCCTCCAAAGTCAGTAGAATATTAACTTATACCTGCATGTGTTTTAGTGTGTTATTCTTTAAAATACATGCCTGGTACAAAATAAGGATAAGATAAACAGACTATGTGGTTCTTGTCAGGTGCCATCCACTCAGCTCCAAATCATAGTGACCCCATGTACAACAGACACTGCCTGGACCTATGACATCCCTCACCATTTTTGCCATGCTTGAGGCCATGATGGCAGCCACTGTGTCAAGCCATCTCATTGAGGGCCTACCTCTTTTTTGTTGACCACATGATATCTTTCTCCCTTCTGACAACATAACCAAAGTAGGTGAGATGAAAGCTGGCCATTCTCACTTGTAAGGAGCATTCTGGCTATATTTCTTCCAAGACAGATATGTGTGTTGTTCTGGCAGTCCATGGTACAGTCGATATTCTTCGCCAACATCATCATTCTTCTTTGGTCTTACTCATTCATACCCAAACATGCATATGAGGCTATTGAAAATACCATTGCTTTAGCCAGGCACAACTTAGTCTTCAAAGTCATATCTTTGCTCCTTAACACTTGAAAGAGGTCTTTTACTGCAGATTTGCCCAGTGCAATACACCATCTGATTTCTTGACTGCTGCTTCCATGGGCATTGATTGTGAATTCAAGTAAAATGAAGTCCCTGATGATTTCAGTCTTTTCTCCAATTATCATCATGTTGCTTATTGGTCCAGTTGTGAAGATTTTTGTTTTCTTAATGATGAAGTATAATCCATACTGAAGACTGTAGTCTTTGATCTTCATCAATAAGTGCTTCAACTTATCTTCACTTTCAGCAAGCAAGGTTGTGAAATCTACATATCACAAGTCATTAATGACTCTTCCTCCAATTCTGATACCAGGTTTTTCTTCATATAGTCCAGCTTCTTGAATT